GCATTAACCACTGTCGGAGCATCACCTGATCAGTGCTGTTTCAGCCGGAGCCTCTGCACAATGGCATCTCCTCTTCTGAAAGAGGAGCTTCACTGGACAGCCAAGTTCAACCAGACCCAAGTAACGGACAATGGGAAGTGCATACAAGCTGTCTGCTCCCCTCAATAAATGTCCTGCTGTCCCAGATGTCCCGTGTTGCCACCCGTGTCTTCTGGAAAACCTGTTAATTAGCATACAGCCCATTACTTCTAGCTGTTTGCTTTTCTGGATTACAGTTACTCTGACCTGACACCACCATTGTGAAGGGCAGCAATTTACACCCTCCCACTGCACCCTGGAATCTGGAAAACGTGAATCGATTTCTCCACAGCATGCACTGCCTACAACAACCATTTCACATGAACACGCAGTCTCCACAGAGCACATCCCATCTGTAATTGGTGTTTCCTGCTGTTACTATGGATCTATATCACTTGTGAAACTCTGCCAATCCCAGGCTACCAAATCATACTGTTTACTTATCTTAACCAACCCACCCCTACTATGATACCAGTTTCTGCTAGAACAGATGTGACAATCCACTGCAACTCCGTAGTGCCAAAAGTGCAACAGATTGATGGTGACCCCTTTCTGGCAGTATTTCAACACCACTTTCCACCAGCATGGTAGGTTTAGGATTAGCTGCAATAAACATCAGTGTGTACTAAACTGTGGTCCACTGACAGACATTACTGTTATGTATATAAAATCCTCTGTTGGCAGACACAAGCAACCTGCTCCCTTATAATGCTGTAGTGCATGAAAATGGCTGCTCAGGACTCCCACATCAAGCAGATGCAAGCCTACTTCGTTAGCTTCCTTCTAGATGGTGTCTTCTACCAGCATGTGCTCCTCCACTTAACATCACTTGTATTTCTGACTATTGAGGGAGACAGAGATGTCTCGTGCTGCCTTCAGCCTCTAAATGGCTTTCTGTATCTTTATTTTCCTGTAGCACTTCAAGGATCAGTTTTCTTCATGCCTCAGAGAAGTGGTATCTAAATCGTTTTAAGCTGAAACAGGGACAGAATAAGCTGTGCAAATCATTTTCTAGTAGAACCTTAATTACATCCTGCAGTGTCTCATCCTCAGCAAACCACTAGCAATAAAATTCTGCATTTCATTTGAGAACTGACAGGGCTGGGGTTTTCTGTTTTGTTTTCCCCAACTGACATATACATAATCTAGCCTGGGACTTTGTTCCACAGTATTTTTGTCAAGGGCTCCAGAGAGTATGCCTGTAACTACTAAATCTTTCTCAGGTTCGCATTCAATTTACCATTTATACAACTGTAGCTAAAGAAAGAGACGTTCTGTTTGCAGGAAGGTGTTTGCCAGATCCCCACTGGCAATGGCAAAAAGTGATTTATGATCAGCTTTAGTTAACATGGCCTCTCAAACAGATTTTAAAAAGTCTTTACAGCCGTGGCCTAATGCCAAGGCCTTTTCTATAAGAATCTATTCAATTTTAGCTTCTTTTTGTGCCCTGCGACTCAAATACAAAGGCAAACAGGTACAGATATTGAATACACCCCTTCAATAATACAAAGGGCCTTTTACCTTCTGAATCTAGCAGGCCCCCCCATGCTGAAGCATTACAAATCTGTGCCTTTTCTAGTTTGTTGTTTGTACAGGGGTGTTAATTCCTCAGCTCATCCCTTTGTGCAAGAGTCCTACGTTTTCTTAAGTTGTCCCAGAAAGGTGGATTTGCCTGTTCCCTTTTTTAGGAGCACAAACTAGAAGGATTAACTATACTCCTGACCCCATGTTTATATGTGCATTTACACATAGGGTTCACACTAAACAGGTGTCCCTCTTCCCTTTTGGGGCTGCTACTCTCTGCTGCCATTATGAAAAAGTCTTTATAATACTGTCATCACTGTCATGAGCACAGGCATGCCCTGGCACGTACAAATTCCTCAAGGGATGAAACCACTGCAGTTCTTGTGTCTCCTCTCAAGCACCAGATGCAGTTGGTTTGTGTTGCTCCCACAGCATGCACAAGTACTTAAACTTCAGCCTCAGGCTCGAGCTACAGATGCCTTGCCCACTTTTTCTTGGCTCCTCCATTGTTTTCATTGCCTTCATGACCCCTGAGGCTCGCCTAAGGGCTGGGTTACTGACTTCCTTTGCTGGCAGACTTGGATGGGGTTTCATCAAGACTGAATTGTGGGATCTCCTGCACTTGTTTTGCACTTTCTTTGCTCAGTCCAATTCAGCAGTTCTGCAGGCCCTGAAGTCTTAGTCTGAGCCTCAGTTCATGACCCAAGCCCTTGCTAGCTGTCATATGGTACTACACTTCTCACACAGTTCTCCAGTTACTGTAACAGATTCATAATTAGCCTACTTGAATATTCAATGCCAAACACCCCCAAGCCATGTACTGCAGATGTGGCCAGCTTTCCTGAATCCCGACAGCCACAGCAAAACACCTACACAGGGCTGTGTGTTACAGGACACAGGACAGAGCCAAAGAGAAAAGAAACTCCACAAGGAGCTCACCAACAGGAAACAATCTTGATTCTCTAGAAGCCGTGAGGCTTCTTCTTGGGAAGACTGGGCTCAGCCCCAGGAAGCCTGGTAACATCAATCACAGGTTATAAGAAGGGCCATACATCTACTATTTGGAAGCTTCATTTTTAATGTCTGGATATGTCTCCTTTTTTCTGGCACTACCTTTTCCATCTGCACATAAACCTCCAGTTGTCCATACTTCTGGAGAGCTTCAGTGCAGGTAGGATGGCTATCCTTCATATGAAAAATTCACCATTGTTTGGGGAGTTCAAAAAACCTGGGACCTCCGTGTAGCACAAAGTGATGAATTAAAGAAGAAAATCCCCCACCGGCACCCCTGCACAAGCAATTAGGAATGGCAGGCCACAGCTCTGAGAGAAACTCAAGATGTACGAAGCACATTTTCTTTAACTTAATCTTACAACCAAGCACCCTTACTTTCCCAAGCACCCTTTGTCTAACCTATGAATATGTAAAGCAAGGACACCAGACTTACAGCCAAGTGATTTTCCACTCCAGGCACATGGAACATGATGAAAGTAGACTTGTGGGTGTTTGTGCTTGACTTGGCAGAGAAAAAAAATGAGGGAGGGACTGTGTTTGAGGGAGGGTATCAAAGATCAGAGCCAGATGCTCCTGCACACAGCTCTGGATTTGCAGGAAATTAAGGTAGAGAAGGTGAGGCAAAGGCTGTGTTTGAAGTGAGATTCAAGGGGTTCTGAAGCTTACAACCATCCAGGGTGTTTGCAGGGAACTACGGTGCATGCCAAAACCATACCACAGTGGCCTGGGGTGCTTTCATTATACAAAACCCGGGAGAGCAGAGGCTGTAAATGTAGCTTCAAAAAGAGCTTCATCTTAAAGTCTTAGCTCTCAGGGCCTATTAAACATTTATGCTGACTACCACTCCTACTCTTTGCTTAAGAGAAAGAACCTGAAATAACCTTTGCTACAGACGGAACTACTACAGCTCTACTGGTTGTGTAGGAGACTAGCAGGGAGCTGTGAGAAACAACCAGAAATGGTGTTGGAGCATCACAGCTGATGTCAGATGGGAAAGAAGCAGGAAAATCTGGTCTGGAACCTGAAAGGGAAGACAGAAAACTGTGCTAGAAATATTGGTTGAATTAGCCATGTTAGGGATGATATGTAGAGTAAGGTATAAGATACATTGTTAATATCAGAATATCGTCATTTTTTGCTTTTACCTTACTTAAGGGTCACACTTTTTGGGAAGCCTCCAGACTGGCCTCAAAATTAGATCTGTTACTACTGCAGCTGTGAGAGACTGTAGAGGAAAAGGAAGAAACCAGACCCTGTGCAGAAATCAAAAGGAAGACAGAGGGGCTCTAGGAGAAGATGGAAAGAAGGGATTAATTCCCCTTATTTGCTTTAAAATTATTTGGTTGTGCAGCGGAAGCTGAGAATGAGACAGCCAGAGTGCTCAAGGTTTTCACCGATGGATGCTGTTACTAGTAATAGCAGATAATACACACAACATTCATTTACTCCGTCAGTTTGCTCATACACTCAGTTACCCAGTTGGAGGGGGCTGGAACTAGATGATCTTTGAGGTCCCTTCCAATGCAAACCATTCTGTGTTTCCATGATTTTATGATCAAACTGAATCAGGCATTGGAAACAGAGAGAGGTCGAGCCAGGAGAAGGAGTGCCATAGAGGATGGGCAAACTGCTTGGTGTCCAGGGAAGTTCCCTCCCCCCGAAAAAATCCCAAAGGGAGCAAAGGCTGCCAGGTGCACAAGATCCTGCATGAGGTGTGTGGGATTCAAGGATGATCAGGGGCTGGAGCACCTCCCATATGAAGAGAGGCTGAGAATGTTGGGGCTGTTCAGCCTGGAGAAGAGAAGGCTGCGTGGAGACCTCATAGCAGCCTTCCAGTATCTGAAGGGGGCCTATAGGGATGCTGGGGAGGCACTCCTCATTAGGGACTGTAGTGATAGGACAAGGGGTAATGGCTTGAAACTGGAACATGGGAAGTTCAGGTTAAATCTTTGGCAGAAGCTGTTCCCTGTGAGTGTGCTGAGGCGCTGGCACAGGGTGCCCAGAGAAGCTGTGGCTGCCCCATCCCTGGCAGCATTCAAGGCCAGGTTGGATGGGGCTTGGAGCAACCTGCTCTAGTGGAAGGTGTGCCTGCCTGTGGCAGGGGGTTGGAACGGAATGATCATAAGGTCCTTTCCTACCCAAACCAGTCTGTGGTTCTATTATTCCTGAGGCGCACAGGAGCGGAGTTACGGACCCGGCCACTGAGCCGCCGCGGGAACTATAGCTCCCATCAAGCACCGCGGCACCATAACCGGCGCTAGCGCCGCCATCTTTGTGCCGGGCTGGCGGCGGCGGTCACCATCTTTGGTCAGGGCGTCACCACCCACTGACCGGCACTGCCCCCCCCCGGTGGCGGGTCGCGCATGCGCAGTACAGCTGAGGTGGCGGCGGCGGTATGCGGCGACAGGCGCTGGCGTTATGGGCGCTGCTGTGGTGGCTGGATCCCGCCATGGCGGGCGGTCCCGCAGGTGAGCGGGGCTCGAGGCTCCTCGCCTTGCCTAGGCGGGAGGGTGTTGCGAGCGATGGGGAACGGGATGCGCCTTCGCTGCAGGAGGGGCGGGTTGATGGTCCGGACGGAAGCGGCGAGTCCTGTGAAGGAGTCTCACCTCAGACAGCACCCCGCGGTGGCCGCCTGGAGTGAAAAGGAAGCCGGGAAGAGGGGGTGGCCTAAACCACTCCTCCGTCCCTGGACCCTTTCAGTGTCGGGTCCTCTTTTCCCCTCCTTGCTTTAAACATCCCCTCGGTGGGCTGCAGAGACTGGAACAGTGCTGGCGTGTTTTGGGAGAGCCTGGTGCATCGCTGTTGCCAACTGGACCAGGAATGTTGTTCAGCTCCCGCGAGTTGTTATGGTAGTGTAAGGAATGGATTCCTATGACTTTTCCTTCCTGTGTGTTTTAGATGCCAGATGGAAAAAAATAACGGACCAAATTAAGAAAGCTGTGGAAGTCTATAAGCCATGTGTAAAGGAGAATTGCAGCTGCCACCAAAGGTGAGAGAGTGGTTTCCTTTTGCCTGCAGAGGCCTCTGGCCATGAGAGGAAATACTGTTGCCAGCACTGATGGTTGGGAATCAGGTAGAGAATGTTTGGGCTTTAAGGTTGCAGCCATCATAGAATCAGCTAGGTTAGAAAAGACCTTTAAGATCATTGTCCTGATTTCAGCTATACCAGTCATAGCTGAACCCAGGACTCCCAAGACACCGCTAAACCATGTCACTAAGGGTGAATGCTTCCAGGGACGGTGTGTCCACCACTGCCCTGGGCAGCCTGTTTCTGATCACCCTTTTGGCGAAGAATTTTTTTCTAATATCCAATTCAAGCCTCCTTTGGCACAGATTGAGGCCGTTTCCTCTTGTCCTCTCACTTGATACTTGGGAGCAGAGACCAGCCACCTTCTAGCTTCATCATCCTGTCAGGCAGCTGTAGGTCCTCCTGAGTCTTCTCCAGACTAAATCCCCCCAGTCCCTCAGCCATTCCCCATCCCACTTGTGCTCCAGGCCCTGCACCAGCTCTGTTTCCCTTCTCTGGCACTGCTCCAGAACCTCAATGTCTCTCTTATAGTGAGGGACCCAGAACTGACCACAGATTTAAAGGTACAGCTTCACCAGTGCAGGGTGACAGTCACTGCCCTGGCTCTGCTGCCAGACTATTGCAGATACAGGCCAGGATGCTGTTGGTTTTCTTGGCTGCCTGCTCCCAAGCTGCTCATGTTCAGCACCATCAATCAGCACCCCCAGGTTCTTTTCCACTGAGCAGCTTTCCAGCCACTTGTCCCCAAGCCTGGAGTGTTTCATGATCAGGGTGCTTGCAAGGAGGAGGTTATTAATGGCACTGTGTGAAACAGATTGTCCTCCCTAGTTCCAGTAGAAGGTGTGTCCATCTGCAAATTGATCACACTCCTTATTGTCCTCTGAGGCTGTACGTATACATTGAACATGGACTGTTGAGCACTTCATACATGATCATGCGATAAACCGTGCACATAGCTGGTGATATTTGTATCTTAACAATCCACTTCCACCTTTTCACTCAGTGCAATGTTGCTAGCAAGTCTTTCATGTGGACTTTTAAAAGCTACCTTTCAGTTGTCACTTAGGCTACAATGACATTGATGGTTCATAAAATTGCAACTTTATTCCTGCTCTCAAACTCATTACATCTACATCCCTACCAGACTGCTTATCCTTTGATCAGCCCATCTGCACAATGGCAATTTTTTATGTAGTTTTACTGGTTTCCACCTCATTACAAAATAGGAGAATCCTGTAGGTCAGAGGGAACATCTTGAGACTGTCAAGTCCATCCCTCTGCTCAAGCAGGGCTGCCATGACTGTGGCCAGTCAGGCTTGAATATCTCCTAGAATAGGAACTATCTGGGCAAACAGAGAGAAACAGTCTCTCTGGGTAATCTGTTCCAGTGTTTGACCACCCTTACAGTGGGATCACCCCAACAGCGCTAAACTAAACTAAGGCACTGAGTCAGTGTCTACCAAAAAGTGGGGAGAATGTCTCCATGGCTGTTACAGTCTGACAGTGTTAAATTCTCCAAGCAATTTGATCTGACGACCTTTAGACTAAGCTTATAGAAGCTGCTTTCTCCTGTATTTTCTTCTATTCACTAGGCTTATGTTTTCACAGTGTTCCTGGAGCTCACTGATGACATGTGGATGTGCTACATAGGCCTGTTCTGGGCTGGCTTTCACTGCACCCAGCAGTATTGGGTGATTCTCTTCTTTGCAACTAGACTCTTTCGTTCTATTTTAATGTCTAAACAGCATGACATTGTGTGAGGAATTTGGTCTTGGCCCATTGCTCATGGAAGGCCAGAACACAAACTTTGCAATTCAAAGGTTAAGTGAGCTGAAGACTTTTTTACCCATAACCTGCCAGGGTATGTAAGATTCTTTCTAGGAGAGGAACTGGAGTTTTCCATGTTGATTTAGCCTTAGAGTCTTGTGCTGGGCTTTCTGTTTGGGCAAACGGCACGTAATCAAAGAGTGAAGGTTGGACTTTTGACTGAGTAACAGCTCTTCCAAGTGACTTAAATCAAATTCTCTGTTATGCCACATATAGCAGCACTCCTGGAAGATACTGAGAGCTTGTTTTAGCTAGAAGTCTGTTCTGTATACTGCAGTAATTTAATGCACAGTATCCTTCGTATTGTACATAATAATGGCTGGTTGTTGTGTTTCAGTGTCTGGAAGCAGGACCTGGCTCCTTTTCGGGGTGGCATTTCCAAGGAAATAATGTCAGATGTGGTGAGCCGGAAGCTTGGGACACACTACCAGATCATTAAGAACAAATTGTACCGTGAGCAGGACTGCTTGTTCCCTGCAAGGTAGGTGCTGTGCAGAAGATATTGTCACCGTAGCTGGGTCACAGCACTGCTTCCAATGCTGCCAAGTTGGAAGTCATTGAGTACAATTATATTTCAGAAGTCTGAATTCCTTATCAGAAAGAAACCTAGAAAATGTTTGAGGCTTAAATATAGCAGGAGGTATGTGTCATTGTGGCACTTCAGTGTACAGAGGGTTGGTTGGTTGTGGAATCCCAGAGAAAGCTGCAGATCAGGCCAGATTTACGAGACTGGGTTGTTTCCATTGGTGTCTGTACTGCACTGGGGCTTAGAGGCTTCTAGAGGCAGTTCCCAACCTGCATCATGGTATGGCTTAGGCTTGCCATCTCCTTTGCTCCTGTGCAGAGGGAAAGGCCTACAAGAGACTGCAGGATTCTGCCTTATACTTATAGCTCTTTCCCATATGGCATTTCTCTACAGATGCAGTGGAGTTGAGCACTTCCTTCTGGAGATCATCAACCGCCTCCCTGACATGGAAATGGTGATCAATGTGCGAGACTACCCCCAGGTCCCCACATGGATGAAACCCATTATCCCAGTCTTCTCCTTCAGTAAGGTGTGTACATCTTTAAAAGCTGAGCATTTCTGAGTCATGCATGTTCTCCTTTCTCTTGGAAACCTACTTTTGAGGATGGTTCCCACAGATTTTGTGTGTATCAAAATTGCCTGCTCTTTATGTTTGCTTTTGCTTCCAGTTTTCTGGCAGGCAGGTTTGCAGATTTATCAATAGAACAGTTTCTACCTCATTAGCTTCTCTTCCAGGTCAAAAATTGTATGTCTGCCACAGTGGAATGATGCACAGCTGGATGGGATATGTGCCAGCATTGCTGTCATTTGCTACAGTGCCCCTGTTAAAATTGTAGCTGCAGTTTATCAGCATTGTTGATTTTTTTGATCATCAGTCAGCTGTCATCCAGTTCATCTCATTTAATGTGAATATTTTAGTCCTCTCTTTTCTGGTACCACAGATAAGTATTTCCGGTTTTGTTCTCCATAATATTCTTGCCTCCTGTGAGCCCTTTTCCCCTGGATACTGTTTTCCATCTGCAGACATGCACACATGCCCAGAGGTGCATACATTTGCTCTCTGCTTCTCTGTTCCCACACGCAAGAGCCCTCCCATATGTTTTCCCACCTCTCCCATTATTAAACCTGACTGTAGCATAGTGTCTCATCCTTTCCAACAAAATACTGTTACACCTCAAGCTTCAGCTAATCTTTCTATGCTTTAGTGCATGCCCAATGTGCCCAAATCCTGCACCCTCGCTGCCTAACCCTGATCATGATCCTGGTCATAACTGAAGCCCAGCAGAAAGTAAGATACAAAAAGAGGCAGTAAACCATTTGGTCTTGCTAGTTCAGGCCCTATTCTGTTTCTGCTAACTTGTAGTGTCTTACTCTGAACCCAGGTCTTCAGCTCATGCGTTCTGAACCATAATATGATCTATACCTGTTGCCTAGTCCCAAGCCATCAAACTTTATGGATTTTCAGAGCAGCATTGCAAGAACTGTCATTCAATAACCATGTTTGCTGCCAAATGTAGTAGTAAGCCAGTAAGCTGTCTTGACCCTTGCATAGCCTTAACTCTAGCCAGCAGAACCCAAACTGATGCAGAGCAGGTTGCAGTTCAGTCTCTGCAGCTGTATTCATCATCCTGCCCTCGGGTGCCTTGCAGGACCCAGCAAGAAACTGACTTTTCCAGTCACTGTTTTCCAGTATCTGAACTCTAACCTCAGCCCTGTCCATAGCTGAAACCCAGTGACCCAGGCAAAGCTCACATTCAACCATAGCTTGTGTGGAAGGCTCCAGGATGCCGGTACAGGGTGCTTTCTAAGGCTGAAAGCATAAGGGATTGAAGGATTGTCTTACTCTGCACCTCAGAAGGCCAGCCCTGGGGTGGTGGTGGAGCTGTCATGATTGCTTATCAATGCTTGTTTATGCCAAGACTGAGAAGGAGCAGATCATACAAGCATACACTGATTTCACTTGGAAGGGATCTCATGAGGTCACCCTGACCCTCAAAGCACAACCAGCTAGATCTGGGTGCTCTGGGCTACATCCTGCCCAGATCTGAGCACCTGGATACAGGGTGTCCCCAGACAGTGTTTGACCTCTGTCAGAATGAAAACATGTTCCCAATATCTAATTAGAATTTCCTTTCTTGTAATCAAAGCTTGTTGTCTCACATTCTGTCTTTGCACTTCTGAAAGGAGTCTGATCCATCTTATCTGAATTCTTCCATTAGGAGACAGCATTTAGATTCCCCCAAGTCTCCTCTTGTCTGCATGAACAAACCCATTCCTCAGCCCCTGTTTCTATGTTATGTGTACCAACCTGCTGACTATGTTGGAGGCCTTGTAACCTCTCCAGTATCTCCAGGTGACAGGTAGATGGATAATTATATAGGAAGTTCATTATTAGTGCAAGGAAGCGACCTATAGTTTGGTTTCATGAAAGGGTTGAATCTTGCTTAAGTGCTGGTCTCTACCCTTTGGTTATGTGGGGATTTAAGCATCCAAATAGGAGTGAGGAAATGAAATTCTTACATGAGTTGAGTATTTGTTACAGTGAAGTAAGTGAGCTCTAGGAAGGCTGGAATGAACAGAAGTGTGGAAAACATAAATGTCAAAGTGTAAGTGCTTCTGTGTCTGAGGAAATAATAATGCTTCTTAACTTCTCTTTAGTAGAAAACATTTGTAGCTACACATAGGCACAAATCTTCAGAAAAATGAATGGAGCTCAGATCTTCTGCTATTTACTCATCAGCTATATCACAGACCTCTTTTGTTATTTTCTAGTGTGAAGGTCCCATGTTGTCATGCAGCCTTTCTAACATCACTGAAACATTTCATTACTGGGCTTTCTTCTGAAGAACCCCAGTAGCACCATGGTGACAGCAAAGCTCTCATGGCTGCTTATGGAATGGTAATGGAGAAAGCAAACAGAACTCCCAGAAGTGACATTCATTACTGGTGGGCTCAGTGTGTAAACTTGAAGTAGATATTACCCTTATTCTTATGTTACTCTTCTTTTTCTTAAGACACCTGATTACAATGATATCATGTATCCTGCCTGGACGTTTTGGGAAGGAGGACCAGCTGTTTGGCCAATTTACCCTACAGGTTTAGGGCGCTGGGACCTCATGAGAGAGGACCTCAGAAGGTAGGTTTTGGAAGTGATTATGTGCGTGTGGAGGTTTAATGGAAGGCAAACGCACAGTAAAATCCATCAAGCACTGGGCAGTGTTGGTCCAATGTAGAAGTCTAAGACCATAGGTCTGTTGGCCTGTGATCTGTCTGTTTGCTTCTCATTAACTATGTACAGCCTAGCTACTGTATAGGAATTCTCCTTGGAAACCTTGGATGATGTATCTAGAAGTTATAATGAGCTTTTGTTTCCAACACTTGAGTAAGCAATGCAGAAGACAAAATAATACCCATTCTTCTTGCTGTCAGAGCCAGATTACTATCATTTTTGCTGGGACAGGGATTGTCAATAACACAGCAGTTATCTTTTGCCTGCAGACATCTCCCCTGACATATGGAAATATTTTCCTTTGTTTCCAACTACTTCCGTAGAAGCTGTGTTTTTTTCACTGCAGGGATGATCCAGGATGTTTGTGTGAGCTTCTGGAAGGGTAAAGGAAAGCCTTCTTTAGATCTGTTTTTACTTGAGTGTCATTGTGCAATAGAGAAACCTGGAATCATTCCCAAGAATCAAGAGTCATTACTGGGCTAAATCAAGGGTCATTACTGGGCTGAGAGTAAGACAGAAGATGTTTCTGACTGGGAGTCTTTCTTTTGGCAGGATTTTTGACTGTTAGCAGAATAAGGGGCTGTTTCCCATGGAGAGTGACAAAGTGTGCAACAGCGAGTGAACATAGATACATTACAAGAAAACCACCTTTATGTCAATCACCTGACATCAGAATGCAAGATTGAGTGTTTCTTTCTTCAAAATCTGAAGATCTATGGGACTAATCATAGCTGAAGCCTAATGTGATGTAATACAATGAAGGTCCAAAGCATTTACTTATCTTTGCTTTCTCAGTGAGCCCCACTTGTGTCACTGGGTTATAAGTAGGTGCAAAGCTCGATCAGTTTGGGGATCAGAACCTACATGTCAAGCCAGGTGCAACAGAAAAGTACCACAAAGAGTTCCCCAGAGGGAGGCAGGTGATGGCACTGACAGACGTAAAACATGCGAACAGCTGTTTTGAAGGACTTGCTTAGGTGTAAAATGAAAGTTATTTGGGAAGACAATGAACCCCTGTGTTTTAAATGCAAAACATGAGGCAGGGTTGGTTAGTTGGTGGTTGTTCTTTGCTTGGGTTTTCCAATTGGGAAATGAGTGAAATTGGGAACTAGTTAGAAACTCTCTAGTCATTTTGCACTATTCATATTCAGTGAAGTACAGAAAAAGAAAGCAACAGTACAAAATGTGGATTCAAATTTGAGGTAAATTTTAATGCCCTAAGTTTAAGGTTTGGTGAGGGGATTGTGTGTAATTCACTGTTTTGGCTGAAAGGTGTACTGAAAAGTAACCTGTATCATGTTGCCTTAAGCACAATATTCATAGGAAAACCTGTTCCGTTGGACCTGGCTGAGAGGTTTTTCTGCTCTAATGAAAAAAGTGACTTCCACTGAAAGAGAATAATATAAAGAGATTATGCTGTGACAACTGATGAGAGTGCTGTTTCCTGGTTATGTTAAATCATTCATTGCTGTGTATAAACAATATTTTCAGATCTGCAGAAAAATGGCCATGGATGAAAAAAATCTCTAAAGCATATTTCCGAGGATCCAGGTGAGCACATTTTCCTGTATCAGGAAATTCTACTGACACATGCTGTGACAGCTGTCTGTGTGCAGAAGTTTCTGTATCTCGAAGACCTAAACAAGTGTAAACCAGAATGTAGTTTATTTTTAAATCAAGGAAAGTTAAATATTCTGTACAGCAGCATTTCACCGTTAACGATTCTTGATCAGAATTGCCATTTGCAACCAGTTTATTATGAAAGTCTAATATTGGAAACAGAAGCTGTGATGAATTTTTTATGTTATTCTTTAATGAGTAAAACTGTCACACTAGGAAACAACTTGTTTTGTTCTATGAAGGGAACTGCAGATGCACAATCCACATTTAAAGATTTTGTGTTGATGTGCATGCTGCTTGCTATTATGATGACTTTTATTTGCTATTCAAATGCTTGACACTGAATCAAAAGTCCTCTTGCTTTAAATTACCTGAGTGGTGGGGGGCAAGAAAGTAGGTTATTTTTGCCCTTCCTCCAGTGACAGTTTGGAAATAATGTTAAACCCAGTTCTTTGTTTCTCCTCCATCCCCATTAGGGAAGGATCTGATAGGTACCAGGTAGGCTCAGGAGGTGTTGAGCAGAAAGTCTCAGGGGTGTCATAACCTTGTTTATCAGTGGTGTTTTAAATTAGTGTTGGCATTGAAGATGCTTAGCACCTCTTAACTCCCTCCCAAGTCAGAGAAAGCTGAAGTATTTGGCACCTATCAGGGTAAAGCCTGAAGGAACATGATCTCTGCTGGTTTGGCTTGGGAATTGCTCAAATAATGCTATTAAATATTTAGTAAGCGAGATAAAAAATCATGGCCTCAAATCACTTCAGGATACGTAATTCATTTGCTTCTGCTAATATGCCCTTGGACAGAAGTACACTGTATGGTAGGAACTTAATATTGGGCACATAGAGAGGTCAGCCACATAAAGAGGCAGGGTCTTGAGCCCTGTAGTTTGTTACCTATGTTGGATTATGTGGGTAGGCTATTACTGATGGCATGTTTTTTTGCAGAACGAGCCCTGAGAGAGATCCACTCATTTTGCTGTCCCGAGAAAACCCAGAACTTGTTGATGCTGAGTACACCAAAAACCAGGCTTGGAAATCTGAAAAGGTACGTGGATGCTGTCTGTCTCATGAATATGAAGGCCAGAAAGGGTAGCAGTGCAAGATGGCTTTGATGATTGAGAAGTTTCTTCTGGGATCTGTGGGTGATCCTTTAGTGTGGAGGAGGCTTGTACTTCCCTTGATGGCCACACCTCTGAAGGATGAGCAGAAGGTGTCTCTAGGGCCTGTCAGGCCAAATGTTTGTCTTCCATCTACGCTTTTTCTTCAAGGAAACTAGCACGCATAAGAAAATGAATCAATGCCACTCCCCTCCTCTTCCACTACAACAGAATTACTCAACTCTTCCTCTTCTATCCCTGAGCTGCCTGTGTGGTGTTATCAGTCTTAAACCTTTTTCTGTAATCTCAATTTCCTGGTTTTGTTGTTAATAACTTTCTGATAACTGCTGCTGCTAGCCCTTTAGTTCCATACTTAGTTTACAGTCCAGCTCTCCAGACAATTTTGGCTAATCCAGTTATACTTGGCTTCACATAGTCCTTTGTCCCAAGCTGTTTTCCACTCTGTGGTTGCCAACTAAACATTATCATTTAATGTGTTTGTGCTGGCATTTGCTTACAGGCAGTGTGTAATTTACTGAGCTCTTTGTCTTGTTTGAAGGGCTGGGAATTCTTAATAATACTTCTAAGAGCCCACCAGAGAAGGTTTTCTCAGAAGTAGGGAATAGAGGGCTTTGAGATCTCAGCTTTGTTTCTAACTGAGAGTGAAAACAAATATGAAATCACCACATGAAACTTACCAATCTTTTAAAATTCTCTTTATTTTAAGGATACATTAGGAAAGCCTGCTGCAAAGGAAATTCCCCTGGTTGATCACTGCAAATACAAGTAAGAGCTTTGATGAGTAAGTTGTTCAAGGGCTGCAGGTTATGTCTTTCCTTGTATGATGTAAAGTCTCATTTTATTTTAAGGTCTAATTCCAGCAACCAGCTCCATGCACATAAGGAAGCCTGTGAACAGGCATAAGGCAGTTGAAAATTTTGGAGATTAGCATGGCCTCTTTCAGTGTCAGCTTTTGTCTGTCAGGTCAGGAGAAATAAACTGCTTTGGGGAAAGTAAAGGTCTTAGATTGCTAATAAGCAAATAGATATTTTTTTAATCAAAAAGGCTTTCTATAAGTTTTTCTTTACATTCCTGTACCAAGTGGTGTGTCCTGAATCATTTTTTTCAATGCTACAGTGGTAACATTGCTGTCTTCAAAGACACAGGGAACTACGGAATCACGTCTTCATGTGCATACTGAGGCAAACACTGCCACTGGACGTGTATAGTAAAAGAGAACCTGAAATATGACTGAGCAGATACAGTATTGACTCATATTTTGTATGTTGTTTGAAAGAATGTGGGTTTTGATTTACAAAGATTTTTAGTTTCTAACTGCTTTAGGGAGGGGTTTTTGGTGTAATACTGTTTTGTGGGTTTCTGTGTAAAAATTTAAGCTCAGTGTGTATGCAGTCATGTGTGATGTTTTGCTGCTTGTTTTGCTTTAAAACTACCTAGTTATGATCCTGCCAGATAGAATCTGCTGATGGAACTCAGTCATTTGGCTGGCTCTGTGTTTTTGTGCAAATGTGATTGACTTGTCTCATTTCATATTCACTAGACTGTTGCCCAGATTTCTCCCTTCTGTTGTTGCTGCCTCCTAAGACTCTCATACAGTGCAGGCTGAGGCATTCTCACACACTTTTGTCTGGTAGGGTCAGCACGAACTACTTGCTGCTCCCTGTGGGACAGGTGCTACAGCAGGCTGTCTGAGAGCAGTGCTCAGTGACTTGGCTGAGGTTATGGACGGTGGGAGCTGTGTCTGGAACTGGACAAAGGCATTTCCTTGCTTCCAGACCGCTGTTTGTGTTAAAACTCTACATGTATTTTTTGATTTCCTCATGCCGGCCTAGAGCTCCCAGGTAATACAAAGAACACAACATCAGTTCAGATTTACTCCTTGTCACTTGCTGCTGAACTAAGTTTAGCTATAATTCCTATCTCACCCAAAATACATATAATATAGAAGCCCCATTTCACCCAAAATAGCTTCATTAAAAGAAGCACTCCCTTTCCCCAGCTCAAAATGTTTGACTTCAAAGATCAGTTACATATGAACTGAGGGGTTTTACTCGCAGGAAAAACAGCTTTCTATGTAACTGGAAAAACACGGGTTTAATAAAGAAGGCAAGTAAACAACCAACCATCCCTCTGAGGTACAGTTTGCTAAGAGAAATCCTCCCCACTCAAGCCCACTTTACTGATTTGACAGAAAATACTGAAAACCAAATTGTGGAGTCTTTTGTTATCTGCAAAGTCCATCTGTTGTGTGCTATCCTCTTTAACCTCCTAGGGTTGCATTCCCAAGTTAATATGAAACAATCAGATTCAGATTAAAGCAAAATCCCAGGAAAAAAAAAACAAAAAACAAAAAACAAACCCCCAGCTGAGATAGATGTGGCAAAGCAGAACAATGAACAGAAAAGCTCACTGCAAGACGAGAGAATTGTGAAAAAGCTCCTTGTGGTGACAGTCTCTGAAGCTGTAGAGTCACAGGATCAGTGTCCATGTTGAGATCTTCTATGCTTTGCCAGCAGTTGTCCATGAGGCTTCCTTTGGTTTGGCACAGGCAGGTAGAGCCTCATACCTTGATTTTCTCTCTCGATTTTAATAGGCAACAGAAGCTCACCTAAAACATCCTTATTTTCAGCTCACCTTTCCTGTGAGTAGCTTCAAATAAACTTTTTCTCTTTGTTTTAGTGGCCGGTGCACAACTCCGGTGTGTGAGGGAGATCCCCTTGCTCCCAGTGGAGCCTGCCTGTGAGGAAAGGTTGGCTACTGCTCAGAGCCAAATTTCTCAGTGAATTCCCTCACAGAGCATTAGGTGTAACCAAGGACCTTCTCTTTGCTTCTCCTTTTAAAGGTATCTGTTCAATTTCCGGGGAGTGGCTGCCAGTTTCCGGTTGAAACACCTTTTCTTATGTGGTTCACTTGTCTTTCACGTTGGAGAAGAGTGGTTGGAATTCTTTTATCCGCAGCTGAAGCCTTGGGTCCACTACATCCCAGTCAGATCGGACCTCTCTGATGTCAGGTGTGAGATTCCAAGCATGCTCAGTGGAGCATTGCATGCCACAGGAAAATGCTCCTGTGTTTGGGAAGGTGGTTTGGTTCACATTGCTCTAGGAGGTGCCTCCAATCCTAGGCATCTGACAAAGGCTGTTGGGGCTTGTGTTCTTTTCTCTGTGTTACTGCCACAACAGAATCCTTTGCTCATATTCCTTGGATAGTAATGGTTTTACTGGAGTATGTAGGTTGGTCACCCTCACTGAATTAGAAGGCACTAGGCAGTTAATGTGCAAGTGTGGCCTGCAGAACAGATAGAGGGGAAGAGGAACTTAACTCTGGGCCAGAAATGCTGCCAGATTCCACCATGCCATCCAGAACAGAAATGGAACAAATGAGAAGGGCAATTTTCTTCTGTGCTCTGAAATGATGAGCACCAGTCCCTTGCTCGGCTGTAGATCCTTAATTATAGAATCAACTAGGTCGGGAAAGACCTTTTAAGATCGTCAAGTCAGACTGTTATCCCAGGGTAGCAGTGGTGACTGCCAAGGCCACCACTAACACATGTAACTGAGGGCCACATCTGCACGGGGTGTGAGCACTTCCAGGGATGGTGACTCCACCACTGCCCTGGGCAGCCTGTTCCAATGCCTGAGCACCCTTTGGGAAAGGAATTGTTCTTCATCTCCACCGAAACCTCCCCTGGTGCAGCTTGAGGCCGTTTCCTCTTGTCCCATCTCTTGCTCTTTGGGAGCAGAGACCAGCCCCCTCCTGTCTCCATCCTCTTGTCAGGCAGTTGTAGAGAGCGGTAAGATCCCCCCTGAGCCTTCTCTTCTCCAGGCTAAAGCCCCCCATTTCCTTCAAGTCATTCCTCATAAGACTTGTGCTCCAGTGCCCTTCTATGGACTCACTGTCATCCTCCACAGTAGTTTAGCTAAGGGACAGCGTTCTCCCCTGAGCAAGTTGCTTCATAGCTGTTTTGTTGGTCTTCATTTAGGGAGCTGTTGCAGTTTGTAAAGGAAAATGATGCCATAGCACAAGAAATTTCAGACAGGTAAGTTGTGTGTCCTGGCTCTCAGGCAGTCTTCTTCCAAACCATTTGCTTGTGCAGCATTTGAAGGGGTTACCTATCAGAGACAACCAGGTATTAAAAGGGTGCAGCATAATTGATCTGCAGTAACAGCAGAAGGGTTGGAGAAGGTGTAACAAGCAGGGGGAACCAGGGAACAAGATTATCTGCTTTAGTCCTTGGTTCAGATGTGACCCATGTCAGGAACCTCACTGAAAGCTCTCAGAGGTTGGGAGCTTTCATCTGGGAAGGAGGTGAGCTGACCCCTGGGAACCGTGTCTGCATTGTATCACTGTGTGTGTAGGCTGGCAGTAACTGGCTTCTGAAGCAGCATGCTTCGGTGCTGCTCAGGCTATATCTGTTATGTGAAATCTGACAGTTATTATCCCAGATAACAAATACCATCTTGAGGGTGACAAAAGCACTGCAACTGTCAGAGCTGCAAGTGTGAGTAAAGATTGTGAAATTAAAATAGATGGGACAGAGCAGTGTATGTTGTTTCTCATTTAAAACACAGAGGAGTGAAAGCTGATATACATATAAAACACAACCAAAGACTTGTAGGAACTGGGAATTGGTTCTGACTGTGCCTTGTGTATCTCTAGGGGACGCCAGTTCATTACTGAGCACTTGCAGATGGAGGATGTCTCTTGCTACTGGGAACATCTGCTTTCTGAATATTCCCAAGCCTTGACTTACAAAGTGAAAAGGAAGAAGAGCTACAGTGAGATTGCTCCTGAACGGCAGAAAACAGAATTGTAGAGACTTCTCTGTTTGTTGTTTTTTTTTCAGGCTTCTTCAACTCAGACTGATCTCTCTGGAAATCTGAAGATCAGTGTATCTTCTTTCTTATTCTCTCAAACTTCTTATTCTTTATTCTAGAACTGCAGAGAGCAGCAGTAGGCTGCTGAAATCACTTCCATACAGTGGGACCCAGTTGTACTGTTGCTGTAAGATTGTTTAGTACAATGTTGGATGATGATAGCTATTGAATGGGGTGGTTATGGTCAGGCCTGGAGGATGGTTCTTAGCATTTGGGACTTAGTTATTTACCTGCCTCAGAGGCAGATATGCAGTCATGAGAAACCTTTCTGTGAATTTTACTGGACTTTTTACCAAGTCCTCTGTACCTGTGGGCAAGCACCAACTGTCAGTGACACTCAGTCAGGAATACCTGCCCCTGTCTTCGGCAAGCAGTCAATGTTTTTTCATCTGTGAGGGTATTAATACTCAGGGTATTAGGTGTTCTCTGACAAAAGCAGGTACTGGGATTTGGGTTCACCTTTTTATGTAGCTTAGAGCTTAATGTTTATATCAGGTTTTAAAGGTGATTTAGAGGTTGATGGTGTTGTGATTTAAACCCAGCTGGTAACTCAGCAGCACGCAGCTGTTTGCTCACTTTCCTCCTTCTTCCCGCCCCTCTCTGGGCACGATGGGGAGGAGAATTGAAATAACGTAAACCCCACGGGTTGAGATAAAAACAGTCCAATAACAGAAGTATACCATAAAACTCCTACTACTAATGATAAGGGAAATAAGGAGAGAGAATATAAAACTAAAAAGAGATAGGAAAAACAATGAACACAAGTGATGCACAATACAATCAGGCACCAGCCACCGACCAATACCCAGCCCATCCCGAGCAGCAATTGGTCCCTTCTGGGTGACTCCCCCCAGTTTCTATCCGGGTCATGATGTGCTGTGGTATGGAATACCCCTATGGCTAGTTTGGGTTAGGTATCCTGGCTCTGCTTCCCATGCTCCTTGTCACTGGCAGAGCATGAAACTGAAAAGTCCTTGATCAGGGTAAGCGCTATTTGGCAGCAACTAAACCATTGGTGTGTTATCAGCATTGCTCTCTGACTAAAGCCAAAACAACAGCATTGCACCAGCTACTAGGAAGGAGAAAACTAACTTGCAGCTGAGCCCAGGACAGATGGCAAGGCTTTGACATGCCATTGAAGGGATGAGTGGTCCTTGGGGAACTACCTACCTCACAGGGGAGCAGACAGTGATGTTGACGTTGCACAGTGCTGAGCCTGAGTAGCACAGTCAGGTGGTTGGCAACTGAGAGATGGTTTATCCTCCCAACAGATGAGCTGGGTGCCCAAACAGCCATGCGGAACTGAGCCCCGTGAACAAGCTCCCACTGGTTGGCTGGCCTTAAGGTCAGCATCCAAGGACCCTGAAGAACCCAGAGAAAGGATATGCAGAGGTGGATTCAGCTCTTCTTTTTCCCAGGTGTTCAGCGATTCTCTTCTGATCCCTTCTGCAATCTTTCTAGGGTTGCTTTTGGTTGGGTTTTTTGGAGGCTGGTAGCAAACCTGATCACTTCAGTATTTGCTTTTCTTCCCCACAGCTGTTTCCCTCCTTCTCTCCTTCAGTCTGGTTGAAGCAATGTCTTCAGTCACACAGTGGCAGCTACTCCTCACAACTCATTCTGAGTTCAGTCATATATTGCTTGCATGTACTGTGTTTATGCCCACTGCAGGCTGCTCAGCCAGAGAGAGTGTAGTCCCTGAGATTCTCTGCAGCCCCTGAGTTGAAGGGCCTGGGAGGAAGCAGCATCTTCTCTGGCATCCAGGCACTTGCTCAGAAGAGCATAGGATTGCAGGAGGGCCGCTGCCTCCCAGGTGAGCACCCTTGATAAAGTGGCCTCAAGGCTGCGAAAGCAGCATGCTAATAAAAGAGAGGGACTGTCAGCTCACAGCTTCCTCTGCTGTCAGTTTGGATCAGGGGAGAAGAAAACACTACAAGAAACAGTAACGCCAAGCACACCTGCACAGGTATGTGCTCACACAGCGAGAAGCCTTACAGCACGGCTGGGCCGCAGTGCAGGGATTTAACTGCTCCAGTGCTGGTTCATCAGGGGTCAGGATACTAGAATGGCCTGGTTTCTGGGGAAAAGAACTGTGCAAGAGTGGAAGGGCTTTCTGGGTTTGTATATTTAGTCACTGGAGAGACAGAATCATAGAATACCAGGTTGGAAGGGACATCGAGGATCATCTGGTCCGACCTTTCTAGGCAAAGCGTCACTTCCCTGGGGAGATTATCCCAGACAACATTCTGAAATGGTTATGTATGATATTTTTAGTCCTTTTTAAATGAAATGCTTTTGGAATAAAACAGTTTTGTTGGATACATCATTACTTTATCACAATTCCAGTTAGGTGTCTGTGTAAGCCCTGCTTCATCAGCGATGGTGAAGTGTGTCTGTTTTTGCCTGTCACAGTAATGTTTAGGGGTGTCTCTACTTCCAGTATCAGGCACGGTGGCCGAAAGCCTCACCTGGCCGATCTCGTCTGCACCGAGGAATTTCCAGCCCGGTTCCTTTATTTTGCGTTGCCCAACCCGCCCTGGCCCGCCTCTTTGCGCACAAAGACCCTCACTTCTACCTGGGGGCAAGCCAGGAGGGCTCGGCAGCTCCGCCCCGCTTGGCTCCGCGCTGTGCGCCGCCGGGGGGTAGGGGGCGCTGCTGCCGCCGCTGAGAGGGCAATGGCGGACGGGCCTGGAGCTCCGCCGCTCTTCAGCAGCCCTGCGCCGCCGCCGGAGACGGGCTGGGAGAGGCTCAGCGAGCTCTGGCGGCGAGAGTGAGGCCCGGGACCAGCCGGAGAGGAGGGGAGGGGAGGGGAGGGGAAGGGAAGGGAGGGCGGGTGGAGGATGCCCGCGGCCTTGGGGCTGGCGTTGCGCCCCCTCAGTCGTGCCCTTGCGTTCCCTTGCAGCGAGCGGCAGCGGTACCCGGAGGAAACCATCAACATCATCAAGTCGGCCTTCGTCGCGGGGCTCGCAGGCTGGGTGTACGGGGGCCTGCCCGCTTTCTACCAAGGCCGCAAGGCCTTCATTGACAGGAGCCACGGCGAGCTCTTCCAGAACCGCGCCGATGCGGTGGTACGAGCCCGCTCGCGACAGCGGGAGCCCCGCTCTGGGTTGGGATCTACACGGGGGGCCGGGCGGCGGGGGCCGGGGCTGCGGCTGCGGCTGCGGTGGGACGGGAGCTGCGGGGCAGAGGCCACGCATGCCGCAGGGTTCGGCGTGTGCGAGTGCGCCCGGGCCGGCTCTTGTGTCACACACGTCCTGCGCGGGTACCGACGAAGAAGCTGGCCTTGGGTACAGCAAACGTTGGTAGCAGTGCGTACCGGTTTGTTCGGTGGGCAGTGACATGTCCTGAGAAGGCTTTTAGATTATATTACACATTGGCAAAAGACTGCTCAGTGTCAGGCTGATGGTGTCCCCTTAGTAATGTGAGTTATTTTAAGACCATTTAGAGTACTCTTAGCTTACAGCTGCACCCCACAACAGAGGTCACGACTTGTGACATTTTACAGGTGAATTTGAAGGTTTAAGGGTTTGTCATTCAGTTCAGGGGCTGTCTGCCTGGAGAAACCCCCTTAAAATCTGCCATCATTTGCTGATTCACTGTCCATCATTCACTGATTTAGATTCAGCCCCTGATGTAGTGGCTGCAAAGTATTGGTGCCTGGCTTCACGCTGTGCTTGTGCTGGCGCTCATGTATCTGCACCAAGGGTGAGTACTTGCACTGCAGGCACCAGAAGAGAGATTTTATTTTCTTTCATGCTATTAAGTGAAATATTTTCAATTTTTATGAAGCTGCTGTTTATCCTTTACAAAAGCCAAACTTTTGAGTGCCAGTGCTGAACTGCACAGCTTAATGGTCTCTTAACATTTAAATTCGGTGGCTATCACTTACTTATTGTGGTTATTTTTTGTTAATGGTTATTATTTATGAATACCTGTGAACCAGTAATAATGAAGAACCAGTTTCTAGTTTGTCCCTCCTTGCTCCTCTGCTACTCTCTTGTACTGCCCTCATGAAGCTCTCCCTGTCCCCACAGATGTGTTTCAACACCAGCATTAGAAAGACCAGTTGATGTTACAAACGATTTAATTCATGGTTTTCCTGTTGGTGGCTGGGGCCCTTCCTCTGAAGGTGACTGACCTGAGCACTATGGATCGGGGTATCACTCCCAAGTGATGTCATTCCCACAGCCCGTAGCATGTACCCCTGGTCGCAGCAGGCTGGTGGCGCAGGCATGGAGGAGGAGGGCTGTGGCCTGTAACCTGTCTTATCTCCCTGCAGCAAGCTGCGCATCGTGCTGGCCTCAGGAGCTTCATCCGCTATGGCTGGCGCTGGAGCTGGCGAGTGGCCACTTTTGTGACACTATTCAAGTAAGTGTTTCCCAGCAGTGATGGTGGGAGAAGAACTGCCTTATGCTTGAGCGCTAGTGGCGAGGAGCCCGTTGAGCCAGCAGTGCTTGCAGCTACTTGAGAGGCCTGTGGTTGATGGAGGCACAAAGCGTTATGCTAGCAGTGAGTCTGAGTGGTAAGGTGTGGATATGAAGAGACTTTAACCTTTTATAATTACTCCAGAATTTAGATCTTACAGTGAAGCAACACAAAACCTGAAACTGGAGAAGCACTGTTCCTTATATACAGCCCATGCTGTTATTGACTTGAATACTGTTCTTCTATAGCAGCCTTCCAGTACCTAAAGGGGGCCTACAAGAAATCTGGAGAGGGGCTTTTTACAAGGGTGTGTAGTGACAGGACAAGGGGGAATGGCTTTAACTGAAAGAGGGAAGATTTAGATTAAATATAAGAGAGAAGTTCTTCCCTGTGAGGGTGCTGAGGGCTGGCACACGGTTCCCAGAGAAGCTGTGGCTGCCCCATCCGTGGCAGTGTTCAAGGCCAGGTTGGATGGGGCTTGGAGCAACCTGCTCTAGTGGAAGGTGTCCCAGTCCATGACAGGTGAGTTGGAACTAGTTGAGCTTTAGGGTCACTTCAGCCCAAATCACTGTGATTCTTCCCTGTGCTTGATGTCTTCTTTCTGCTTTTGCTTCATCTCTTTTCACAGTACGTTGGCTGTTGCTGGAAAACCTTTCTATCCCACCCTAATTTTTCTCGTTTTTGTGATGTCTGATTACTCCAAATCTGTACACACTAGCATTACTCACAATTCTCTGTT